CCAATTTTTTTGGTGTATGGTCTTGAGGTCCATTCATTTAGCTGTAAATGTCTCAATTCACCCTTCATTATGGCAGAGTAGTATTCCACTGTAGAAAAAAACACATCTTTACCCATTCGTTGACTGCTGCGTATTTGGGCTTTTTCCAAGATTTAGCTGTTACAAACTGTGCTACTATAAACATGGGTATACATATATCGTTGTGGTATGATGCTTTTAATTTTTTCAGGAAGACACCAAAAAGAGGACATGACGAAAGACTAGGAAATTGTGTTCCTTCTTCCCTTGTTTTGAAGCCTAATGGATGAATAATAGTTTTTTTGAATGTGGTTTGATATATATTTAGAAAGTTATATAAATTACTCATTCTTTCAGAGCTGCAAGTCATTTGCTTGGTTTTAGTGTCTGATACCCAGTTTAAGCTTCTGTCATGGGATACGTATTATGGGTGTTCATGTGTATTTATTTTTAATTAGCCTGCTATTGGTTGTTAACAAGAATAATGGTATGAAGTATTTCAGTGTATGTATTTACATAGGATAGTTGAAACTCTGTAATCTTAAAGACTGATTTCTTGTGATGGTTTTGAGAAAAGATATATTTATTTATTCATTACTACATAGATTTATTCTAATCTAAATTTTACTAACTAGATCATTTATTAGAAAGAATCATCTCTTAAGGTTGAGTGTTACTTACCTTCCACAGTGATTTGAGGCAAGTGGAGGACAATTATGCACATTATCAAGAAAGAGGAGACAAAAAATACAACAAGATCAACTTAATGGGCAACCAAGATTAAGAGGAAACGTTTTAGGTTGTATCAGTCTTCTTACCTGATAAGCACTCTAGCTCTTCAGGAGAGAAACTTTCTGGCACTAAATTTTGTAATTTTAACTAGTTAATTTATTTTTGCTGTGTTTGAGATCAAACCTAGGATATGCCACATGCTAGACAAGCATTTTACCATTGAATTACACCCCCAACCCCTTTGCTAAATTTTAAAGGGATTTATTGGAAGGATTATTTTACAGGGAACATGAAGTCAATTATAGTTCTTCTTAGAGTTCTTCTAGAAAATTCTCCATAGATTCTTATCATTATGTGCAGATTTTTATTAGATGTTGTATTCAGTTGCCTTTTCAGATTTAGAAATGCACTACGCAGATAGTTTCCTGTGTGGTCATTTATTATCTATTTTGGACCTCCAAGCACTCATGGAACACATTTAATACCTTCCTTCTTAGCAAATGTTAGATTATCAACAAGTATTAGTTTTTAATAAAAGTTAACTCATGCATCTAAATAAAACTTTTTATTTTGCCTTTAGGGTGTTTGCTTTGATGTTCCCACAACTGAGTCAGAAAAGTTACAGGTATTTTAAAAAATTTTATTTTAAATAGTTGAATGTGTTTCTCTAAAAGATGGGCTTTGGAAAACATATTTGATTATCATGTCTAAATCATGATTATTATGTCTAAATCAGTTAATTCCTGCATACAAAATATTGTATATAATTTAAAATTTTATAAATTTCAAACATAAAAGAACGATAGAAGTATATAATGAATCCCCATATACATTACCCAGCTTCAGCAATTAATTAATGGCCAGTTTTTGTTGTTGTTGTTTTTTTGTTTTGTTTTGTTTTTTGAGACAGGGTCTCACTATGTAGTTGAGACTGACCTGGAACTCACTATGTAGCCCAGGCTGATCTTGAACTCACAGTGATCCTCCTGCCTCAGCCTCCTGAGTGCTGGGATTATAGGCATGAGCCACCATACCCAGCTCTTGTTAATGTCTTCTAATCTAGACTGTCATTCCTTTTCCAAACATACCCTTGTATTATATCTATTGGAAGAAAGGCCATTAGATTCCTACAATGAAGAATTTGTCTGTTGCTCCTTCTTGCATACTTATTTACACATTTCACATCCCAATTTTAATATATGTGGCAAAGCAAGCACTATGTACATATTTTTAGTGCTTTTTTTTTATTTTTTTTTTTCCTTTTACCTGTGATCGAACTTAGGACCCTGCACTTGCAAGGCAGGCGTGGCACCACTGGGCTAAGTCCCCAGCCCTAGACTGGGTCAGGGTCTTGCTTTGTAGTTCAGGCTGGCCTCAAACTTGCAATGATCCTCCTGCCTTGGCTGCCAGAGTGCTGGAATTACAGGTGTGTGCTGCCATGCCCAGCTATTACTTTTATTTTGAGAAAGGATTAACTCACTGCATTGCCCAGTCTGGGCTTGAATTTGCTATCCTCAACATCCTTGGGAATGGGGGTTATATGAATGTGCCACTGCATCTGGCCAGTGACTTATTTTTAGTAACTCCCTGGCATTTAGCTATCTGACCCAATTGACCACCAGGGTCCTATTTTCAGAAGATTAGATAATGTCCATAATTTTCTATTATAAACGAGATGGCTCTTAACATCAGTGTAGCTAATTCTTCATACATTGCCATGTTTATCTCTTTGAGTGTTGGCCAACAAGTCTGCATTTTTGGTCACATATGCCAAACCCATCTGTAGTAGGTACGTGTTTGTCTCTTCCTCTCCTTAAGTCAACTCATGGTTACAATGAACAGTTAATGTAGCTATCACAGTGGTACCGCCTTGATTTATATGGCTTGAGTTGTTTACTGTGGTACCAAATTGTTTCCACTGACTACATTTTTCAGTCCTAGCCTGGTATTGACAGATTTTTTTAATCTCCATCATCAGCTGTTTACCTTGGTTCTGTTGATGTTATTTGCTCAGAATGTTGCATACTTATTAATGGCCTTTCTTTGTGCTGACAAAGCAGATAGATGTATAAACCAAGTATGGCATTTAGTTATTAGAAAATATGAAAAAGATTTCTTTATTCACTTCCTTGCTTAAGGCTTCTATTTTACATTTATGTCCATTCTATAAATTCCTAACAGGCAGAGTGGCATGATTCAGACTGGATACTCTCGGTGCCAACCAAATTACCTGAAATTGAAGAATATTATGATGGAAACACATCTTCTAATTCCAGACAGAGGAGTGGTTGGTCAAGTGGCAGGTCTGGCCGGTCAGGCCGCTCAGGTGGCCGATCTGGTGGCCGGTCAGGTAGACAGAGTCGACAGGGTAGTCGCTCAGGAAGTCGACAAGATGGTAGAAGACGAAGTGGGAACAGAAATCGATCAAGAAGTGGAGGCCACAAACGGAGTTTTGACTGAGCTTTGATAATTAATCTACCAGTGTGAGCTTGCCCATTTCTGCCTAATCATGTACATTATCTACCAAAAATTAGGGACATCACAGTTGAGGTATGTGTCTGCTGTTTGCAAAGAACTTGGTCGTATTTTTTTAAACAAAGTATTTCGCAAGAATGGTTGTAAACAAATCTACTTAACCAGTTATACCTTTGAATAAAAAAAAAACTCCTTTTATTGTCTCTTTTCACTATGTGTTAAGAATTTTCTGAATGTAATCTTCTAAAATTTCTTCGACTTGACAGTCAAGTTAACCTTAAAGTTTATTACATTTTCCAAAATATGGTGTATTTGTATTAGATTATTACTTCCATAGGTTATGTGATAGAAAATAAGAAATTCCTTCTATGTTAAGGGCTGTATAAACTGATGAGATCGTTAGTTGTAGCATTTTAGGTTCTAGATAAATTAAAGAGATGCAAATAGTGCACACTCACTAGTTTCATCAGTATAATTTATTGAATGTCTGCTATGGGTTCATAGCTAAGCAAGTCACTGGGGAATATAATTGTGAACAGGCATAGTGACTGTCCTCATGAAATTTCCTATCAGTTGATCCGATATCCCATGTGTGTGGGTATGGTGGGAAGGGGAGCTTTCAGAAGGGAGAGGACTTGGCAACCAGCGGAAATAGCGTAGGCAGGAAGCCAGAGGATGAGTGTGAGGATGCACAGTTAGTTCAGTGTGGTTTGCCGGTGTTAGGTAGAGGACAGGAATAAGAGAAGGATTTAGTGTTTAACAAGGGCAAGATTTTAAAGGCCTTATCTGCATTGTTACAGAGTTCAGACTTCGTTCTTGAAGATAAGTGAGGAAATAAAAAGTTTAAGGAGTAATGTGATTAGATTTGTTTTAGAAAGATTACTGTGTCAAGGAGACTGGATTGGAGAAGACCAGACTGGAGGCCAGGAAACATCTTAAGAAGTTGTGGGAATAAACTAATAAAGTAGAGCTGCTGGTGAGCTGAACAACTGATGGTAAGGTATTTTGTGTGGTGAGAACTGAGCACTTGAGAGGTTGTTACTTATTACGATCACACAGCTGAATAGTACATAGTACAGTGAGAATTTGAATCCAGATGAGTTTAACTTCTACAGCAAAACTTTTCACACTGGTAAATAGGGGCAGTGGATATAGAGAAACGAGTAGATTTCAGAGGGTTTTAGGAGATAGAGTTTTAAAGACTCAGATCTTGATTGAATTTGAAGATGAGATTCAGAAGAATATAACTTAAGATTTTTGTCATGAGATAGGATACTGAGAGGAAGAAAAGTTATATGGGAAGAGATAGGAATATGGCTAATTCAGGATGAGATATATTTTAATATCTAATTGTATATAAGCTTGTAAGAGGGGATTCAGTGGCCAAATGTGTTTATTACAGGTCTGAAGCTCAGGAGAGAGATTTGTTCTAGAAATAGATTTGGAAATAATAAAAAATTATAATTGTAGCTACGAAGGAACAAGGAAAGCACGGTAAGAGTGAAGACTATGGAGGGGCCAGGGATTTAGCTCAGTGGTACCATGCCTGCCTCACTAAGCACAAGGTCCTGAGTTCAATCCCCAGTACCGCAAAAAAAAAAAAAAAAAAAAAAAAAGATGGAGATTGTGGTGGGGTTGGGAGGATGGAGCAAGATCCCTTTGAAGACCCACCAGGACATGGTCAGGCACTTGTAGAAGCACATCTCTGCATTTTTATCAGGAGAAAAGTATTGTCATACAGTTCAGTGATTTCCTATTGCAACACTGCATTCTGTTGAAGGCAAGGAGAGATGATTGATCAACCCAGGACCGAGGTATTGCACTACTGGAGGAAAAGGTTTTGGTGAGGTGACTGGTGTGATGGTCCATGGCGTGAGCCTGCCTGAGGATTGCAGTGGAGATGGGCTTTATAACAGCAGGGGACTCAAGGACTATACGGGCTGCCTCAGGCTTAAGGAGTAGAGCAGCTTGGGGGGAGACAAGTGCAGAGGATGGTGGTGGGCCTGTTGGGGGCAAGGGTCACTCAGCTGAGATAGTGGGAGGACTTTTAGGTGGTTTTCGTGGATGTTCAGAGTCTCCTAGGATAAAGTTAAGACAGGACTACAAGGGAAGACTAAGCCAGTGTCCAACATATCAATGAAGGGGGATGGGTATGAGAGGTGCCATGTTACCAAATATCTTTAAAAGTATGAGGGCTCTTAGGTGAAAGCAAAGCAGTAATGGTTTGGAAATGGATTTGACCAATTGGGTACATGGAATATGAGGGAATGGAAAGCAGCAGGGGCTATTTTTTTGGACCAGCAAGATTTCAGGGCACAGGAGAGGATGTGCTGTGCTGGACTGAGGAAATAGGGAGTTTTGATATGGGGAAATGGATTCAAATAGCCATTGTTAGGAGATAAATCTCAGCTTTGCAATTGTGGGCTCCAGATTTATATTTAAGTACCTAAGTTGCATGTGTACTAGTTCATTCACTCACTCAGATTATGAGGTGTGCCCACAGTGTCCCAGGCAATGTTTTGAGTGAATAAGGAGTGCTCAGTCTCTGCCCTCAGAATTCAGTGAAATACGTAGAAACATAAGTCCATGACTAAGTGCAGTGAGTTGCAAGTTTTAAGCAAGAACAACCAGCCCAAAAGTGGGAGAAGGGGTTCAGAGAAAATTTTTTCAACATGATTGAGCATAATAAGTTAAATTAGGTAAAACAAAAACAACCAGGGGAAGCTGGATGTGGTGGCATAGGTCTGTAATTCCAGCACTCAAGGCTGAGGCAACAATCCTTGCAAGTTCAAGGCCAGCCTGAAATATATAGCATGACCTTGTCTCAATCCCTGGCCCCCACAAAAAAATACCCAGGGAAGTGGGAATGGGCACCCAGGCCAAAGCACAAAGTAGCTGATAAAAAACAACATGGTCTAAATTATGGGCAACCATTTATCTTCTTGCTGGGATTTCACTTGTGGAAAGCAGTGGTGAGAACAAGCAAGAGTTGTGTCTTGGAGGGCTTATTTTGAAGGAGTTAATTGAAGGATTTTACAGGAAGGAGTGAAAGAGATCAGTGTGGAGGTAAATGCCAGTGAGCTGGATGGATTTAAGGTCATTTCCCTGTCAGCCGGGGTCCTAACAAGATCAAATAATAGCTTCTCATGTATTTGTGAAAGGAGTGGGCAGGGAAAGTTTCCAATTCTTTCTCAGCTTTGAGCTGCACTCAGCTACTTGGTTTTGTTCTGCTCCTTCCTTTTATAGCCCAGCACCTTTATTGATTTCAGATTTTTGGCCTCCAGTTTGATGCTGTGTTCTCTAGTATGGTCACTTAATAGCTGCTTCAACTTGAATTAGTTACTCTGGTCTTTAGTTTTGAATTTGTAAATGAAATTAACATCTGTTTTATTTTATTTGGCATTAGAATTTGGAACAATGAATTTACATTAGATATGAATGTCTTAGAGCTTTATTATATGTGTTTTGGGAGTAGTGCTTAACAGTACATTTAAAAAATCCATACTCCTTTTTCTCTTATCAGTAATACATGTCCATTGTTGAAAATCTGAAAAAAAGAGAAGCAAATGGAAGAAATAAAAACCACCCAAATCACACCACTCAGAGATAACTACTGCTAACATTTTATTGTGTAGACTTGTGATTTCAATGTATGTGTGCGTATATGTGTACATACCTTGAAAATAGAAATTCTTTTATAATTTTATGAAAAAATAACACAATATCTAGATCAGAAGAATCTGGTCTAGCAGAATTGATGATTAAGCAGAACTTCACATTTCCTGTCCAATATATGTGACTTAATTCTTTCACTTAACTGAATTTTGTACTGCTGTCTGTACAAAATATGGTAAGTTGACCACCTTTGAGCCCAAAAAGGCCATTTGCGTTTTTCTTCTTGGAATTTTGGGCTTGTTCTTATTTGCAGATCTGTTGCAGAGAAACTTACATACATTATAAGCTTTGACAACTATTTTCCACTTCCTAGTGTTCCAGGGCTTACTCTCGTGTTGAACATCGGCTAATAAACACATCTCTGTACTTTGTACAGCAGTATTTTGAACAGCAGCAGTATCATGTAGTTTATTTGTGGTTGATCAAGCAGACTGCATGTTCTGTATGGCAGGAACTGGGCCTTTAGGTACTCCAAAGTCCTTGCTACAGTATCCAAGGATTTCATCAGTTTGTTGATTGCATTTACACTTGCTCCTTCCAAGTACTAAGGGGTTGTGCTGTCTTGCCTGAGCATCTAGTTGTAATTTTTTTCCAACCATTGCCATCTTAATATTTGATAAATATTTAGTGACAGACTACTGTGTGCCAAGCACTGTCAGAAACTTTGAAGATACAAGGATGGGTACATCAAGGTTCCTGACTCAAGGATATCTCAGAGTGTCAGTAAAGTTACTGCTCATTTATCTAAACTGTTAAAACTGAAATGTCAAATAATAGCTTACATGAAGCTTAAAACTCAGGTTTTCAGCATAGGACTTCAACATTTTTTTTGGTACCAGGGATCAGACTCAGGTCATTGTGCTTGTAAGGCAGGTGGCAGAAACACAGCTAAATCCTCAGCCCCAGGAATTCAACATCTTTTGGGGACATAACTCAGCCTGGAACTAGGTGACCGTAGCCAAAGAATCACTTTGCTTTTTTACTTTGTTACTATAGGGCTATGAAAAAGTAAATTTGATGGCATCACTTTTGTTCCTTAGGGAATTACACAGAAAAATCAACTCTCATTCTCTGGATATTTGCAAGCTATAATCCTTTTTTTTTTTTTTTTGGTTTTTTGAGACAGGGTCTCACTATGTAGTTGAGACTGATCTGGAACTCACTAGCCCAGGCTGGTCTTGAACTCAAAGCGATCCTCCTGCCTCAGCCTCCCGAGTTCTGGGATTACACGCGTGCGCCATCTCGCCCAGTTTATAATCCTTTTCTTTGTAAAAGTGAAACAAATTGTTTCAAGGCAAGACTCTATTAGAAATTCCAACAGTTTTCCCTACCTCATAACTTCGTACTTGGGAGGCAGGCTGCATCACCACTGGGCTAAATCCCTGGCAATAACTTTGCACTTAACACTAGTCAGTCAAGGGCTTGGATTTAGGATCTGCTCCTGAAAGCTACTGCTTCAGAAATTTAGTATCTTTCTTGTTTTGTTTTGTTTTTTTGTACTGGGGATTGAACTTGGGACCTTGTGCTTGTGAGGCAGGCATCAAGAGTGAAGGAATTTAGTATCTTTCTTAATCTCATTCAAAAATTGGAAAGTCGGGATATTCAGTCCAGTTCAACCACTCTCCAGAAGCCCCTCTGACCCAGGTGTTAAACTGGGGTTGGATACGCATGCTATGATCTTAAGACTCTACATTTTAAGGGAAGCAAAGGAAATCAAGTGATTTTCAGGGTTCAGAAATTCCATATACTGTAAGCAGCCCCAACTCCCCATTAATAACATTATTCACTTCCTGCTACTTAAAATTTACTCCCAAGTGTTCTTGAATACAGAATGGAATTGCTTTCCCTTTATCTCATTCTCTTCACTTGCCACACTAACCATCTCCAACGTAAGTGGATAAATGAAATGTCAAAATCCTTTCCTGTAAAAAAGCCAGGAATCTGCAGGCCAACTGTGTTTTAGGAGCTGGTGATTTTTTTTTTTTTTTTTTTTTTTTTAATCAGGAATCAAACTCAGGACCTAGTGCTTGCCAGGCAGGCACAGCCCCACTGAGCTAAACCCCCAGCCCATTTTTTTCCCCACCATTTAAAATTCCTTTATTTTGTAAATTTTCCAGTGAAAACTGAAATGGGAGCACTTAAAATAGTTAACATATGCCTTTGAAGTATCTGTAAATGCCAGAGTGGTTTTTACTATGCAAATGGAGGTATACATTAATACTCATTTTAGTAAAAAAATGTTTTTGACTGACATTCTTTAAATTGTCAACATGAAAGTTTTCCTGAATTATTTCTTAGTAAATATTCCAATGTTTTAATAATTTAAGTGTTTTGGCAAGTAGTTTTTTTTTACCTTTTTGGAATTGTCATGTATGTCAAAAACTTAAAAAAAAAAATAACCTCAGAAAACAGTTCTTAGTCCACTGAACACTTATTAAGTCACCAGGCAGTCTTTTAAATCTAATCTCAACTTCAAACTTTTATCTCGGTCTTATTTTTACAGCCTTCTGAGTATTTCTCCTTGACCCTAAATTTTTTTTGGTACTGGGGATCGAACTCAGGTCCTTGCACTTGTGAGGCAGGAGGCAGAACCACTGAGCTAAATCCCCGGCCAGACCCTAAATTTTTGACATTTTATTTTTATTTTGTTTTATTTTTTCAGTACCAGGGATCCCACTCAGGACCTTGTGCTTGCAAGACAGGCATGGTGCCACTGAGCTTAATCCCCGGACCTTTTTGATGTTTGAGTCAGAGGCTGTATGCTGTAATAGAAGCTGCCCATATGAAATACAAGTACATGTGAACAATGCTACAAAGAGACCCTGGGGGCAGGGGCAAGTTGATGGAGTGGATGTAGAATAAACACAGTACACAAATTCTCAATGAAATAGATGCCAACTATCGCTGGCACTGACTGGACAGTCACCTTCCCAGAACCAGTAGCATGATATAAAGTGCAGTAAGCGCTGGGATTGATAGGAACAGCCTCTTATCTGCAAGTTTTGGTCAGTTTACCAGGATGTTGCCCCATGCAGCTTTGCTCACTGACCTCTACTTGCAACCTAATCACGTCTGCTGGTTGACAGCGATTCCATGGTGTGGTTCATGTAATTTGTCAGCCTGGTTGAGAGCTCTCCCCAGTCACTTGGAAATGAGTGACAGTAAGGAGTGCCCTGCTGTAAACTCCCTCTCTGGGACTCGATCACACCCTTGCATTACGCTCCATTTCACAAGAGTTCTGCAACCTACCTCGACTGCTGCTTACCTGGAAGCTCACTGTAGTCAGGCTTACTGTGCCTGCACACTCAGCCTGGTGAAGAACCTTTTTACCTTCCTTGCTTCACCAATCCTAATTCCGTCTCTCCATTCCCTTCATTGCCACCCTGCCAACCCAAGAACCTGCTCTAGATTCTTCTGCTTGTCTTCATCGGTATTTCCTTCATCACTGATTTTTCAGCATGTCTTTTTCTCCAGTCAGTCCTCTAATCTCCCAACCTCAATATGAAAGGAATCATGAAGTTACCATTAAATACAAAAATTCTCAGATTTTAAAATGTTAACTCATCTCGTGAAATACAGAAACAAAGCTTCCAGCATTGACCTTTTTCATGTATTTTGAATTGTCTTTCCAAACACCTGTGGCACACCTTTGAGTTTGTTGTTTTTTTCGTATCGGGGATCGAACTCTGGACCTTGTGCTTGTGAGGCAGTCGGCAGAACCACTGAGCTAATTAATCCCTGGCCCTACACCTGTGAGGTTTGTGTGTGTGTGTGTGTGTGTGTGTGTGTGTGTGTGTGCGCGCGCGTTTCAATAGCTTGTATATTGCATTTTATGTGCCAAGCACTGATAAACCCTTTTCATTCATTATCTTACTTAAATTTCTCAAACTCGAATAAATGACTTTTTTTATCCTTTTTTCATTAACAAGAAACTCGGGTTCAGGTTAAGTAAATTGTTCAAAATCACAAAGCAAATAAATGGCAGGTGGTATTTGCAATCATTTATTTGAGTTTATTTTTTGCGGTACCAGCGATTGAACTCAGGACCTTGTGCTTGGGAGGCAGGCGGGGGACCACTGAGCTAAATCCCGGCCCTCGCCCATTTTTTAAAACTATGACAAATTCCCAATTTGTTGAATCACTAGTTCTTCAGAAAAAGTCCAATAACACTGTCATTGCTCATTCAAGTTTCCTTCTGCTTGAAGTAGTATATTGTCCAAATTAGCAAGACTAGGAGCCCCTATTAGTTTATAACGGAGGTCTACATGGTTTGGGACTCTTTTACTGGTTCCAAGACTGAGTAAGGTGCTTCTCTGTTCCTGGGAAACAACCACTGACTTCTTCCACATTAGTCTAATTTTTTATTTATTTTTTGACACGGGATCTTGTTGTTTCCCAGACTCTGACTTCACATAATCCTTCTTTCTTGACCTCCTGAATTGCTGGGATTTCACTGGCCCCTCACATCCCTTGAGAAGGCTAGTGGATCCCAGCCTTATTTCTCACACTTGACAATAAACGCTCAGGGAATGTTTGCTGAATGTACTTACGAACGCCCAAAACCTTCTGAATTCTAATTCGTATTCAGGCTCGTGAGTTTGGCCGTCACCTGTAAAAGGTTTCTACACGATGAATAAAAACATCATCCTTTCGTACGTGAAAGGACCTTGCAAACGGGCAATCCAAGAGCACTGAAAAGTCGCCACTCAAAAGCAACTAAAAGTCTTCGTTTGTCAGGCAAGACTAGCTAGAATCTAGCCAGTGCTGGAATGAGCATACAAAGCCAATCTTTGTGTTACTCTCCGTTTCCACTCTGTACCAAATGCTAACTCTGGGCCGGAGATTTAGCTCAGTGGTGCCGCCGCCTGTCTCACAAGTGCAAGGTCCCGAATTCGATCGCCGGTACCCCGCCCCCCAAAAAAGAAAAGAAAAGCTTTCCAAATGCTAACTCAATTCCATCAGGGGTCAATTCACTAAGAGAAGCCACTGCCAGAGGTAGACACTTTGAAACTACCACGTGTGTCTGACTTCCGCATGTCCTGTTTCCGCCGGAAATGCATCACTACCGGAAGTGACGGCTTGGGTGGGCCGAGGGGTTTGTACTCTCTCTTCCTTTGCACGCGGTTGAGGAGATCGGTAGGCCTGGGCAGCGCGTGCTGAGTGATGCCGGGAAAACTCCGTAGTAACGCAGGTTTGGAATCGGACATGGCCGTGGAAAAGAAAGGAAACGAGAAGGTAATACCCAGCGACCTGGGGCAAGGCAGGGCCCGGGCCCGGGGTGCCAGGAAGAGCGGGGCACTGGGGTTCCGGAGAGGTGGCGGTGCGAGGAGCGCGTGGCAGGCGGCTAGGACCGGCGCTTTCTG